AAATTTAATGAAAACATTATCAGGTAAATTTTATAAAAGCACTTAAACTTCATGATTTAATGGTAATAACTTGGATGGTAAGGTGCACTCTCAACCCAACTTAAGAGGAATGGCAAGGGCCAACTAAAATTGGATGATAATTCATTACAAATAAAAAAAAAATTAATTTTTTTATTAAAATTGAAAGAAAATTAATTACTCACCAAATCTATTAAATAAATGTTATAAATAATTGCACTTAGATTTAGTGGCTCGATGGTTTTAAATTTTTTGAAAAGTGCATCCCCAACCCTTAGGCTGGGGTTCGACCTCCCACTCTCACATTGTACAGTTAAAAAAAAATGTTATAAATAATTATAATTTATAATTATTAAGAAATTAAATATTAAAAATATAATTAATTATATCTCAATTATTATATAATCGATTACAGTATAATAATTTGTATTTTAGACATCTCGCAAATGTTTTTTAAGTAACCAAACACAAAATTTTAAAAATACTAGACAAATTTTATAAGCCATTAAACACAAATAAATAAATAAATAAATAAAATACTTGCCTTGATGTAAATATCTAGTCAAAATGTTTCCTAAAAGGATCATGATGTGTGCACATCCGGTCCGGGTGTGCACACACCACGTTAAAAAAAAAATATGGATCGGGTGTTGGATATTTTTTATTTTTTATGGAGAGTATAGTGTTAGATATGGGTCCGCACACATTATTTTTTTTCTTAAAATATATTTTTTACCGGATAAAATTTGGATAGACAACCAAAGAGGCCGTAAATGTCTCAAAGATCCTATGGACAATCGGACAGCTGAATTCTAAAGATTTTTTTTTGGCAAAACCATAAGTTAAGCCCCTGAACTAACCCCAGAATCGCTATTAAGCCCCTAGACTTTAATTGATGCAGTTATGCCCTTGAACTCTGGGATCAAAGCAATTAAACCCTTCTTCTTAAGCAATTTATTTTAAAAATTAAAGTCTAGGGGGTTAATAGCGTAAGAAGAAGGGCTTAATTGCTTTGATCCCAGAGTTCAAGGGCTTAACTGCATCAATTAAAGTCTAAGGGCTTAATAGTGATTCTGGGATTAGTTCAGGGGGCTTAACTTATGATTTTGCCTTTCTTTAAAATTTTAATTGTATTATAAAAAATAATTATTTACCATTTTTTATCCCATTCCCCCTGCATCTTGTACAACTCAAATTCAAAACCTCTTCATTTCAGTCAAAATTTAAATCGTTCGCACTAAAAATTCTTCTTAAAAAGGTTAAATTTTCGGTTCAGCCGTCGGCGTTAAAAAATCAATTAAATATGGGTATGGGTATGGCCCCATTATGAAAGTGGGCTAAAGTAAAGTCCGTTAAAGACTGTGGGCTTGAGTCTTAAACTTCAGGGTAAATATGACCCATTACAGAAGTGTCTCGCAACTAAGATCCATCCGAAATGGAGTGGTTCAATGCTCTAGCTAAAATTATCTGTATCTTGGTATTCTACACCTAAAAAGTGTGGAATCCAATTTCGGTGATCATCGGACGGAGGAACTAATAACACAAGCACTTGCAAAATGCACATGTGAAATCCCAAGTGAAGTTTGCTTTACATCATCAGTGTTGTCATCCAAGTGCCACAAACATACATAGATCACATGACTCAAAGAAACAGCATCCAAGTCTTGAACCATTACACAAATATAAAGCAGATCTTAAGGCATGTTTATGACTCAACTATGGGCTTT